CTCTATTTACATCACTACTTCATGCCCAGTGACTAATGTTTAGCACTGAGAATGTTTAAGGACCATAAACTGAACAGGAGAATACTTCTCAACTTTATTAATGATAAAATAAATAATCGTGGTAATATTGAGGAAACAAACTCAAATACCACTTTGAGTACACGCAACAGATCCTACATTTATTCATCTTCAACAACGCAAAAAAAAAAAAAATGAAAAATAAAGAAAAACATTGCAATATCAGAGAAACACTAGTTCCAGTCTAACCTTGAGTACAGATAACATCTCAATGAATCTGATCTTACATTTCCTTGCCTTCATCCTGCAAAATTGTCAAGTCACATCATCAGAATCAATGATTTTCCTTATATAGGCTTATTTGTACTCTGTAATCATATAATAGGCTATATAGAAATGAAGGATTTTTCTCTTATGTTTCTGCAGCACTGTTTTGGGCATTAGTGTCACCTTCTTTAGAGGCTCTATGGTGTCACCCAGGGCACCCCCCCCCCCCTTACAGTGCTACTGCATGGGGATTCCTAACATCTAAAGACTTTAGTAAGAGCATAATAATACAGAACCTTATAATGGAAAATTTATAGAAGTATGGTTTGTTATCTAATAGGCGGTGATACAGCAGATACAGTAACATTATTAACCCTTAAACTGTCCAGACACATCTATGTTCACATGCGTAGTGCTCCAAAAGTAGATCTACGTTTTTTAACATATTTTCAAATATTACAAAAAAAATGTAGATCCAAGTTTTTTTTACACGTTTTCAAATGTAAAAAAAGAAAAAGAAGCTCTACGTTTTTTTATATACTTTCAAATGTTGAAAAAACATAGATCTATGTTTGGACAGTTTAAGGGTTAATAGGTTAATACTCAGAGCTGAACCTAATAACAATATTGACAAGGGTGTGTATTTATTTCCTTATAAGAAATGTTCAGAGAAGGTATCTCTGAATGAAATGGTATATGTTTTATCAAGTGTGTGTATGAGCACAAAAAGATATAAAATAAGTAATGCTAGCAGTGCTATTTTTTTGTCAAGTGCACTATTTTATGCCCAGTATAAAAGTCAGTAATGCAGGTATATGTATTTATATATTTACTGCATCAGCCCTTCCACTAAAAGTGGGTTGTCTCAAGGAAGTAAATCATCATCTTTCAACAAATCAGCTGTTTTCCACCAAGGCAGGGTGGCCCAAAAAGAAAAAGAGAAGTTTCTCTTTTTAACTTTAGTAATGTATACAGGAGAAGGGGTTACTAGCCCTTTGCTCCCGGCATTTTAGTCGACTCTTATGACACGCATGGCTTACAGAGGAAGAATTCTGTTCCACTTCCCAATGGAGATAAGAGGAAATAAGAACAAGAACTAGTAAGAAAATAGAAGAAAACCCAGAGGGGTGTGTATATACAGTGGTACCTTTGGATACAAACTTAATTCGTTCCAGAAGGCTGTTCGAGTGCCAATACCGAACAAATTTGTTCCCATAAGGAATAATGTAAATTAGATTAATCTGGTTCAGACCCCCAGAAATACACATACAAAAGCACTTACATAAATACGCTTAAATAATTGTTCGAGTTTTGAGCTGTTCGTATCCCAAGGTACCACTGTATATCCTTGTACATGCATCTGTAATGTGACCTAAGTGTAAGTAAAAGTAACAAGACATACTTGAAATCTTGCATGTTTATGAGACAGAAAAAAGACACCAGCAATCCTACCATCATCTAGAACAGTTACACACAGGCTTTCATTTTACACTCACTTGGCAGAACGGTAGCACCCTGGGTGGTTGCTGTCTACCAACCTACTACCTAGGAAGAAAGTAAATATCCACCATTATTCTTTTAATAACTATCTTGCTAGAAATGAGCAGATATCACCATTGAGATAACCCTCTGACCAATAATATTCCCATCCCTTTCCCAGAGTGCAGGCACTGTATTTCCCACCTCCAGGACTCAAGTTCAGCTAACCAGTTTCACTGATTAAAATCATGAATTCTACCTTGCTCACACTTCAACAGCACATCAAATCCATAAAAGAAGCCATCTCCACCAGACCTGATCTAACATGCTCACACATGCCTGCTGGTTGCTCAAACCCCTACCATATGAAACCACCTTCACCCATTCCTCCAACTACACACTGCATTTGGAAAATGCTACACAGTGCATTTGAAAAAAAGCAAGATGAAGTTTATACAGTATGTATATCACTGTATATGTATACACCTTACTTAAGGGATTAAAGTATTCTTGTCTGGTGGTGGAAAAGATTATGTACAGCCTTAATGACACAGGTGTAGTTGTTAGGCATTTAACCCCATTAACAAAGCAAACAGACAATGGTATATGATCATGATGTGTGTTGTTTGCCAAATTGTAATGTAGTTTATTTTTCTGTAAATACACATTAGATGAGACTGTATAATCTACTGATATAGCATTAAAAACTATCTTTGCAATGTTTTGTTCCAAGAGCCTTTGTTCTATTATTATTTTTTCTGTAACTATGTAGCAGTGTTAATTATTGAAATTCTGTTAATAAAACATTATATGATGTGCTATAATAAAGCTATTTCAATATAACTGTGTTTTTAAAGCAGTGAAGGTTGCACAGAATATATGAATATACTGTTAGATGTGAGGCTTGGCAAATTGATGAATAATTATAATCTGATTTTATTAATGGAAATTACAGTTCAGAAATTCTTAACACTGGATTACTATTTGCATATGCATTTGTGTGTAAGAGAGAGGGGGGGGGGGACTTTAAAATGAGCTGATGTAGGTAACAGCTCTTAGCTTGTAATAAAGTTAGGAACCTTTAACCTAACCTTGTAAAACACTCACCCATACTCAAGTCTGAGCTGATCTACACTTATCCACACTAGAAGTTAAGATAAGCTACTCTAACCCACACTAGTGTCTGCCCTCACCACAAACTCTCCTCTTTTATATTTACATGGAAGCACAAAACTTGTAGCTGTCATACAGAGCTTGGTGAATGGGAGTCAGTCATACTTGATCCAGGGAATTGAAAGGTAATTCCATTTACTCTGGATCAAAACCCATTCACCTGTATCGACATCCCTGCCAATGCTGGGTCATCTTACTGTGGTGGTGAGATTTGTGTAGCTTACCCTGAATTAGAACCCAGGGCTCTTCAAGTGCCTTCCTAATTTGGCTCGAACAGTGAAGAGATTTTCCCCATTCATTAAATTTTGCTAAGGGGGATCATGGAATGATCACCATCTGTTAGTCCTTGAGGTGATCTGCACCACTCGAAGGACTCTGTATTGCCAGGTGGACCTTCAGGTGGACTACCTGGTGGCCCATTGGGCAGTTCATCTTCTGGCAGAAGTACAACATGAGGTAACTGGTTTCAGCAGTGGTGATAGAAAATGTGCAATTCTGCATTCTTGCAGGTCTGCCCACATCTATTAGTAGTTGAAATACTGCTAACATATTTAGTGCTCCCAGCCTAAATAAGCAGTTTTACTAAGTCTTAATATGCTGTTTTGCTAAACCTTGCTGTTGTGCATGAGCTATCCTAAAGTTGTGCATGGGATAGTAAGAAGTCCTTGAAAGACAGCTGCATTCCCTTGTATGTTACAGTCTGACTCCAGCTGGCTTAAAGGTTGCTAAGTTTAAAGTGGCAGTTAGAAGCACAGCATGGGGAGATATTGCAACTTAACATCCTCCAGGTCTCGAAGGATAGCTTGATAATAATACTTCTGGTCTGTGGCATACTTATTCCCTCCTTGTATCATGGTAGCCCAGTGGAAAATGTGCTTGCCACTAGAAATCTGAATAAGTGTCATAGCATCATTTCCCATTGGTTGGTCAAGCATGTGAGGAGGGCATTGGTTTCTAAATCCTGGAGTGGCTGCAGTTGAAAGGCTTAAATTCTGGTAAACATTAATTCACTAGTCCTCATATTCAATCAGCAAGACCTTTCCCTATACCTGTCTCTTGGGTGGAAGGATCCTGATGCAAAGCCATATATTCTTTTTCCTGCACAATTCTTAAAGGTGCCTACTCATAATATTTGACCACCAGAGGTGGCCAAATATTATGAGATATTAGGCTCCACATTGTGGAGCCTAATCTGATACTGCCTACTCCTATGCTGCACTCTTGCATTGTCACATCTGTGGTTGCTCCTGTAAAGCTAATACACTATGTGTTGCACATGAGGAATAGTGCACTATTGTGCCTTACGTTAAGGAACTTGATTTTGCAAAGTCCTGTATGAGGACACATCTCTTGCATCCTGGCCTGTTCTATGTGGCCATTTCCACTAACCGAAGGAGCTCGACTGCTGTTCACCCATTGGTAAAATGGGTACCTGGGTGGTAGTCAACTGGTGTGGGTCACATCCTGGGGACAAAACTGACCTAATTTGCCTGAAATGCTCTGCATAACATGAGGTTTTGTATATAGTAGTATGTCACTGATGTCTGCTAGGCCTGTATACCTTGTATGTGTACTTGTAGAAATAAGAAATTATGTTATTACTTATGAAACAATTTTACAAGGTACATGGCGAGTACACTAGATTAATTTTTTGTTACATTACATTAAGTTAGGGTGAGTTATGTTAGGCTGTTAGGCTCTGCTGGGTTACAATAGATTATGTTCAGTTTTTCAACATATGCTCAACCCATTGAACAACTGATTTTTTTTTTTCAACAAGTCGGCTGTCTCCCACCGAGGCAGGGTGACCCAAAAAGAAAGAAAATCTCCAAAAAGAAAATACTTATATCATTCAACACTTTCACCTCACACATACACAATCACTATTTTTGCAGAGGCGCCCAGATACAACAGTTTAGAAGCATATATAAAGATATATAACATATCCCTCCAAATTGCCAATATCCCAAACCCCTCCTTTAAAGTGCATGGATTGTACTTCCCATTTCCAGCACTCAAATCCAGCTATATAAAAATAACCGGTTTCCCTGAATCCCTTCACTAAATATTACCCTGCTCACACTCCAACAGCTTGTCAGGTCCCAAAACCCATTCGTCTCCATTCACTCCTATCTAACACACTTACACGTGCTTGCTGGAAGTCCAAACCCCTCGCCCACAAAACCTCCTTTACCCCCTGCCTCCAACCTTTTCAAGGACGACCTCTACCCTGCCTTCCTTCACCTACAGATTTATGAGCTCTCCATGTCATTCTACTTTGATCCATTCTTTCTAAATGACCAAACCACCTCAACAACCTCTCTTCAGCCCTCTGACTAATACTTTTATTAACTCCACACCTTCTCCTAATTTCCACACTCCGAATTCTCTGCATAATATTTACAGCCTCCAGCCGCCTTGCTGCTGCATTTACAACCCAAGCTTCACACCCATATAAGAGTGTTGGTACCACTATACTTTCATACATTCCCTTCTTTGCCTCCATAACGTTTTTTGTCTACATATACCTCACTCTCTAATCTTTTGACTACCGCCCACAGGATGGGTATGGGGTGCATAATAAAAATATTAAACTAACATATACCTCAACGCACCACTCGCATTTTTTCCTTCATCAATTCTATTGTTAACCTCATCCTTCATAAACCCATCCGCTGACACATCAACTCCCAAATATCTGAAAACATTAATTTCTTCCATACTCCCTCTTTCCAATGTGATATCCAATTCTTCTTTATCTAAATCATTTGATACCCCTCATCACCTTACTCTTATCTATGTTCACTTTCAACTTTTTACCTCGGCATATTTTTAACAATATTTTATTGCCAAACATGCCGAGGAGCAATATTCATCAGTTATCTTTTTTTGCGTTCTGAAAATTTTATTTATATCATAATAATAATCCTTTATTATTATTATTATTATTATTATTATATGATCACTGAGAAGAGCTAAGTGAGTAGGAGTCATGCGCTGACAGGGAATAGGCAGTAATAATTTATTTATTTATTTATTTATTTAGAAATTTAGCATACAAACAGAGGTACAAAAAATACAGGTAAGAGCAGCATGCCAAAGCCACTTATATGCATAGCATTATGGGCTGGCTTAAAATTAACTTAAGATTAACTAAGCAATGATGAAATCAGTGATAAGACATTATTGTAAACAGATCACTATAAAATACAAATGAGTATTACAAAGACAGGTCATATGGTTGTATGCATTGCTGTTCATTCAGTAGAATGGAGTATTCTGTTAGGTAGTGTATTTAAAAAAAAATAACAAAGTTAGGTTTAACATTTGTGTGATATAATTGTGAGTAACATTTAGGATATACAATTTATATGGTTCATTTATTCAGTATTTATTTGGTTTTGAGTGAGTAAGTGAACTTTGAGAAGAGACTTGAATTTATAAACAGGTAGTGTTTCTTTTATATTTAAAGGTAATGAATTCCAGATTTTAGGGCCTTTTATGTGCATTGAGTTTTTGCATAGCGTGAGATGGACACGAGGAACATCAAAGAGTGATCTGTGCCTTGTATTATGGTCATGTGTTCTGTTGAGGTTGGCAAGGAGATGTTTGAGGGGAGGGTTAATATCAGAGTTAAGTGTTCTATGTATGTAATAAGTGCAATAATAAGTATGGATGTTTTGTATGGTGAGTAGGTTGAGTGTTTTGAATATTGGTGGAGTGTGCTGCCTGTAGTGAGAATTTTTTATCATTCTAACTGCAGCCTTTTGTTGGGTAATTAGTGGTCTGAGATGGTTAGTTGTTGTTGAGCCCCATGCACAAATTCCATAGGTGAGATAGGGGTAAATAAGAGAGTGATAAAGGGCCAGGAGGGCTGACTGTGGAACATAGTACCGTATCTTCGATAGTATGCCTACAGTCTTGGAAATTTTCTTAGAAATTTGTTGTATATGTGTATGAAATTTGAGTCTATTATCGAGGTGGATTCCTAAGAATTTTCCCTCTGTTAGCTTTGTGATAGGTGATCCGTTTATCGTTATGTTAAGAGGTACATCTGTAGCTCTGCTACCAAACTGAATGAAGTAGGTTTTGTCAATGTTTAGTGTAAGTTTGTTAGTCCTCATCCAGGTAGATATTTTCTGTAGTTCGGTGTTTACAGTATTGGCTAGCGTGACTGGGCTCGGGTGAGAGAAGACGTATGTGGTGTCATCTGCAAAAAGTGTGGGTTTGAGTAATTGCGAAGCATTTGGTAGGTCATTTATGTATAGGAGAAAGAGAAGAGGGCCAAGGACACTTCCCTGTGGGACACCAACTGTAATTGGTTGTGCGGAAGAGCTTGCCCCATTAGCGTACACATATTGGCTTCTGTTGCTGAGGTAAGACTTGAGGTAGTTGAGGGAGTGCCCTCTAATACCATAGTGTGATAATTTTACGTGGAGCAAGTCATGGTCAACTGTATCAAAAGCTTTACGTAAGTCAATGAAGATCCCCAGTGGGACTTCTTTTTTCTCTATTGCAGTGTATATATGTTCTAGCATGTGTATAATAGCATCATTAGTATTTTTATTAGGCCTGAATCCAAATTGGCAGGGGTTGAGAATGTTATGGGAGATGAGGTAGGAGTATATTCGTTTATGAATTAATTTTTCGAAGATTTTTGAGAGAGGGTG